AAACATGTAATACAAAATATCTTGATTTATTTTACTTGTTCAAATGTTTATTAATTGTAACACTTATTTTTGAGAATCTTTGGTGGATGTGCAAACAACTCATCTAAAATGTTACATGAAGCGACAAACCTCTCTCTTTGTGACGGGTCATGATAAGCTATAGCTCTGTATAATGGTTTAATAAGAAGGGACAAAGTAATTGAGCTAGTTTACTCATTTGCTAGCTAGCTCAAGCAGCAAGCTCACTTTGAATGTGTTGAGCTAGAAACTATAGCTAGCAGATATTTGAGAAATATTTAAATGGTATGCAATTTAAAATAACCCAGAGTGTAGGAGGAATATTTAAACAAAAGTTCTCTATGCCATTGAAAACTCTTAAATATATTGGAGGTTTAATTCACAACAACGTATCATACAGTCAGGACTTAAGTAGGTTACAGTATGTCTGTTCATGTTATTTTCACTTTTGATGAGCAATAAGTCAGTGTCAGCCACTCGTTATGTTGCGTTTATGCCTCACAGGCAGAAGGTATTTTCAATGGCATCAGTGAAAACCAATATCATTGTGTAAGCTCTCATAACAATCACAGTGCTTTAATTGCACTCTGGAGGAGAAGGAAAATTCCTTGCTATTTGCTTAGTAAGAAAATTGGCATGGAACAAATGATTCCTTTGACTGATGGCTGTTAGCCCCATAGGAGCAAGTCCAAACTAGCCGCACCCTGCTTTTTAGCTGGGTCACTTTGAACATACACAATGTTTATGCCAACTCATTCCTGAGGCAGGCCTGCATTGCTCAATTGATTGAGGAATGCTTTGGTTTTAGGACCTGCAGGCACCAATATTTGAACCCGGGCCATCCGAACATATTATGACAAGGAAATGATGAGTCACAGGAGTGAGACTGAAAACAGCGATGCTTCTCAGGGCACATAGGCTTAACAAATCAAATGCTGTGTGCCAGTTCAGGTAGATGACACAACTTATGAGCTTGTGCTGTCTTTACAACAATGCAATTTTAATATAAACTGGAAATGAGACTTACATTTACAATCCTTCTTAGTTGCTCATAACGGCCTGGACTAAGAATCGAGGTATGTTTTCCCTGAGGGGAAAATAATGTGTGCAATATTACCTTGCATCAATAAACACCTAGCATCCTCTTAAACATAAATTCCAACAAAAAGCTAAATGTTTCATCTGGTAAAGTAGTTCTGGCCAAAAAGGAAGGTGAAGGATGTCAGTGGAAAGCGAAGGTCAACATCAACAGGGCCTTCAATCCTTTGTTTTTTTAAGTAACATTTGCTTGGTTGCTTGTGCTGACAAATGGTTACAAGGCAAAACATTGTATTTAGATGGATCACACATTTAACACAGAAAAGGAAGATGAATAAGATGGAATTAGATTAAAAAAAAACAGATAGCAAACTCATTCTTACTCCTGGGTCTGATCTGGCTGTGGCTGGTAAATTGGTAAGCTTTACTTTATCAGCTGATGTTATTAAGTAACCAATGTCTCATGCATGTCAATTCACAGTTCCTGGTCTTTGCCAAGTTTGCTTGATTTTTACTAACTGATTGCACAGTCAAACATTGTACAACACATTATGAGCTCTGTTTTCAATACTCCATAATTTAACAAAAAGTTATGTCAGTCTATACTTTGTAAAAAAAAACAAAAAACAAAACAAAACAAAGATTTTAAAATGATGCAGAAAACACATGGAGCATTACATCTTGACAAAGTGCTGAAACTGTAAAGAAGAAAAAAGTGAAGCCCTGGGCTTGAATGTTTCACTTAGCTTAAACATCATACAGCTTTAATAAAGAGCTGATCAATTGGCCTGAACACTTATTATACCCCTTATATCAGTTAGGCTATCATTTACATGTGCCTAGTTATGCATGAATAGGCAGTCTGTATGTATGAAGTTCAGATCATAAAGTAACATGGGAATTTACATGATATGTGTGATTAGGGCTGTATGTGAACTGTATGTGTGCGTGACTGACACTCCAACCTATGCCTTTAATGAAATCATATGACTCCTCTCACCCATGTGACCCCATGTGACTTATAGAAGATCAGACTGAAAGGAGATCTGGGTGGATTGTACAATGGCATTTAGCACATAAACTGAAGGTGGAATGATGCTCAACATTTACACAAGATGCCTTATTATATGAGAGAAAACTAAATTGACCAAACAAACAAACAATGACAGAAAAACAATTAGAGCATCAATCTACACTCTCTATATCTATAACTGTTTTTGGTAAAGCAACATGTTCAATGAAAATAGCATTGAGCAACTATAATTAAATGTTAAGATGACTATAAAGCGGTATTAAAGAAGCCGATTCAATTCAAAAAACTTTCCTTTCTGTTACCTGAGATCCAAAAACGTAACAGCTACCTGAGGCTCAAATCCCACATTTGTCCTAAAAATCACAGTCAGCTGAGACCAGAGAAGTGAAATGTATTTATTCCTCTAAGGCACAAGAGGGACATCTACTGGACGGAAACTGGGAATCTTTTTAAGACAATGTAAGGAGAGAGTGGGGTATGACATGCATCATATTGTGACATGACCAGGAGTCGAAACCTGTGACCAGTGCAACAAAGGCTGTGTTCTCTGTATTGTGGACACCTACTCTACCAGATTTCAAGTCAGGGGACATCACAGAGTATAAAGGCATGCCTGGTATGAACTATAAAAGTCCATCAGAGCTGCATAAAAGGACATACTCACAAAAACTAGAAAGCTGCTCATGGACAACAACATGTGGCAGGAAATGCAATCAGGAGTAGGCCTAATACAAGCAGGTCTGAAGTCTGTGACTCCATCCTACCAATATGCAGATTATATGCCAGATTCTACAGACAGGACAGTGACAACACTTTAAAGTCCCACTGTAATCCAGAGGAGACTGCACTACATGGGGAAGAATGCAAGTTGCCAGCCCAGGGCTTTGAAGAAGGTGAACCCCTCCAAGGCTACAGACTCTGATGAAGTGGCACAGAGAGTCATAACAACTGGCAGAGGTGTACACAGACATCTTCAACACCTTTAACGCACTCACCTCTAAATAATCTGTTATAGTACTGGTACCTATAAATTCAAACACAACCAAAATGAATTGCTTCAGGCCAGTTGTATTCACATCAGTAGCCAGGAAGTGTCTGGAGAAGCTGGAGATGCTGATTCTGCCCTCCATCAACTCTGTGGGACACTGTGGACCTGCTACATGTGTTTGCCCACCGCCCCCAACAGATCAGTGGGCGATGTGGTGGCCCTGGCACTCCACAATGAAACACCTGGAGTGTGCAGAAGATTAGAGTACTGACACCCACCTGTAGCTGGATCTTGGACTTCCTGATAGACAGTACACAGATGGTGAGGATGGTAAACAGGGTCTTTACTGAGCTCACAGTCAGCACAGGAACCCTGCAGGGCTTCTGCCTCCAGTCAAAAACGCTGTTCCCTGCACAAATACGACTGTGTCTCAACCCAGGACAGTAACATCATTATCATCAAATATGACCACTACAGCATCCTTGGCCGAATCAAAGGGAATGATGAGTCTTCATACAGAAAATCACTGTCTATGGAAAGGAAATAGACTTTTTTCTTAACTTCTTTTCTGGACTTCAGAATTTCTTGTCTTTTTTTTCTCTTATATTATTATACTTTCACTTTTTTGGAGAGCTGACTCAAGGAGATATGCACTAAAATCTACTGTCCTGTACCTGTGCAAATCGCAATAAACATCTTATGTAATCCAATCTACTCTACCGATTGAGCTAAACCAGTGACTAAATTAAATGATCTATATTAAATGTAGGCTGCATTCAACCAAACTACTCTGACACTTGATCTGACATTTTGACCAAAGAACGTTTCCAAAAGACACAAAAACCGCACAATGAAATGGCAAGTTATATTAGGTGACAGCTATCAACACCCACCACCTGTCATTCTTGTAACGTTTGCATTATTTTAGGCAAGGCAAGGCAAAGCAAGTTTATTTATAATGTGATTTAGAGCTTAAAATAAATATAACATTAAAGTCTTTATATTTGATTTGTCACACTTAAATGTAATATAAATCAGGTATATCCTCTGAAAATAACTGTGAGTCATGACTGTCTACAATGGGTGTAACACCAGAGTCCCACTGTCTGTGATGCTTTCAGAGTTTTCAGAGTCCTATCTTCACTTTGTTTACATCGCCAGGACGGCCGGCTGACTCCTCCCCTCGTGTATAAAAGTTGTTTAATTGAGGGACTAGAGAAAAGAAGAATAACATACTGTACTCACTGCTTAACTGTGTTTCTAGATCACGCTCATTTCAGGTAAATTTACATGCAGTGTGAAGATACGAGCATAATAAAGATCACTAGCATTAGCATGCTAACACAACAATGCACCGCGAGTAAGACAAACTATTAGGCCTAAAATAAAATATCCAAAAGGCAATATTTCAAAATAAAAGATCCAAAAGGTAAGAGAGAAATATGACTTTAGGCAAAGGTAAGGCCTTACATACAAGATATTTAAAAAACAGCACAAAGAGCAAAAATAAGACATTAAATACTTTTTTATATTAATTCTAAAAAACTTACAGGATGCAATAAAACGTGAATGCATATTTGAGTTATTTAAAAAAAAGACTCAGTCAGTTTCTTCAAAAAGGAAAAAATTGCTTTATTGATAAATACAATTTCATGGACCATGATAGAACATGTTCATTAGTTATGTAAATATGGGAATTTTATAGTACATGGGGCATTGGCTGCATGGGGACTGACTGACTCGCTCTTTGCCTCTAGTGGTCATTAACGGAACTGCAGTCTTACAGCCTTTCCGTTGGTTTTATCATCATCCCCGGTGGATGATGTATGTGTATATCATGAAGACATTAAGGGAGGCTGAGAAGAGAAGACCACACTGTCAGCCCCGCCCCCTTGTACTCATCATATTCCCACGTGCCTCTCTGCCGCAGCAGCAGTCACATGACCTGGGATCTTCTGCTCGACACTTCCTGTACCTCGGTTGTTTTTCCTGCTCGAAAAAATAACGGAGCCGCTCTCCCAACCGGCGACAAAAACGTATAGCCTCCATCCAAAACCCCTGCACAGCCAAAGACTGGAGAGGAATACAATCGTCAACCTGGCTGTGTTTATTTTTTATTACTGCGAGAGAGAGGCTCATCGGAGGGGCGGGAAGCTAGTTGACTAGATAAACAGACTTCACCGCCCGCCCTTTACATTTAGAAAATACAACAAACGCAGCACTTTGGTCTCCCCGACGAGCGCCGACAGCTGCTTTTATTCTCACCCTGACAACCGGTTTACGTTAGCAGAAAGTGGTGGCTACATGACGTTAGCCATTTCCCCCTGAACGACCAGCCATCGATATGTCAAAATACACAAGCTTTCCAGAGCCGATGGAAGACCACAACCCTTTCCAGGTGGGTGAGCTATGCAGCTTCCATTAGCCGTGTCAGAGCAGACCGTCATGGTGCCTTTAATGGATGAATACCATTGATTGTGGCTCCGTGTAATATCAGGCGTGTTGTCGCTCATGTGACGTTTGAGGGGCCTCTCTGATCTTTCCCCACTTGTAGCTTCTGTCAACAGAGAATGGTAGAAAAGAAACCGAGTTTTTAACAATTGAGAATGAATGTAACAGCAAGTCGAAGTTATTACTGTGCTAATTAAATCAATAACTCTTTGTGTGTGTGTGTGTGTGTGTGTGTGTGTGTGTGTGTGTGTGTGTGTGTGTGTGTGTGTGTGTGTGTGTGTGTGTGTGTGTGTGTGTGTGTGTGTGTGTGTGTGTGTGTGTGTGTGTGTGTGTGTGTGTGTGTGTGTTATAGGATCCTGCAGTGACTCAACACAGCAGCAACACAGGATATGCCACACTGGACCTGTATAACCCATTTGATAATAATACTACAACAACCGGGGTGAGCAGTATTTCAGTAATACAAGGGGAAATAGATGATTAAGTACTTGACAAATTATTTAAAAAATCTGCTAATCCACACATGTTTTACTTTAAGAGACATAAGAGGGGGGTCCATAGACATACATTGATCATCCACTCCCCTTATAAGATAAATTGTATGTCTGAAAAGAGTCTAACTTTGCTTTGGACATTTTAATTTATACAAATTAATTCAGAAATATACAAGATATAAGCATACCTCTCACAATCTCAGTGAAATTGAGCCATTGTTTGATGCAACAGTTTGCAGCTTTGCCTTTATTTTAAAGCAGTTACTTGAATTATTATTGTCTGTCTCCAGAGTCAGCTTCTTTTTTTTTTTTTTAAATGAAAGAATTCAAATAAACGGATAACAAATACAAGGAGGTGTTAAAAAAAATTGTAAAATGTTTGTTGTTGACTTAATTACAAACAAATTAGATATTAAGCTGTTAAGTGTGTTCTAGATAAAGATCACATCAGAGTGTTTTGTAATGTCCTCTCACATCATCTATCTCTTGTTATTGGAATCATTTAAAAATACACATCATGGCATTCATTCCAGTGAAGCCCTGACTGTGAATATCAAGGTCGCCGATGTTTAAAATCATAATTGAGCTGGATGCTGTGCCAACACAATGTTTTTTTTCATTACTTCTTTTGGTGTAAGAGTCCCACACTGCCAACATTTTCTCTCATGTTTGAGATGTAAAGCAGGTCAGAGTTTGTCCAGCAGGGGACTTCATCTGCCAAATAAAATACATCTTCTCTGAAACAGCAGTCAGGTATACTAGTTTGCCAAAATTAAAGCGATAAAACTCGATATATTGACATAATCTACAGGACTGATATCAGCTGATGTTAAACCGATGCATTGGTGCATCCCTAATTAATTCACATGTCTAGAACGAGCCAAGATTAAATCATCACTGACATGAAATTAGATGAGAAATATTTCCTCTCTGATGTAAACATCCTGATTATCGTGGCTTGTTTTGTACTGTGGTCATTTAAAAAAAGTCCACTGAGAGTTTTTTTCATTATAACCATCAGTTGAAGACGGAGCAGGAAAGTTTGAGCTATCACACATATTGCCATGAAAGTAGGAATCAATCAAACACACACACAAGAAGAAATGTTTGTGTTGCTACACCTCAAGTTTTAGTTTGTAGAGTTTTGTGTTGCTAGGAAACAGCTTGGGCCTAAGTTATAGACCCTGTCAGGGGCGGTTTGCTGCTAGGACACATTTTCAGTCCTTGTGTCTTTCCTGTCGGTTTTGGCAATCAGCAAATAAAGTAGAAACAGCAACTAGACTCGGACTTGGACTTTAAGTGACCAAACACATGCGTCATGCACCACAAGATATTCATTTATTCATCAATATAAAAAACTGTAACTGTAAGCAGTATTCTCATTTTTGCATTATCCCTTTCATTAGCACGGCTTTTTACGTGACGATTCCCAATTTGACGCTAGATTAACTCAACTCAGCTTTATTTTTATAACACTTAATATACACTATACTTATACACACAACACAGTGTATCCAAAGCTCTGAACAGCAAGATCTGAAGTATGATGTTTGCTTCTCTTAACTATATATCTTCCAGCCTCCACCACCGTATGAAGCCACCTCTCCCTCTGTACCTGCACAGACCCCACCCAGCAGGACAACACCCACAGAGCCCCGCAACTATGGCTCCTACACCTCCCAGGTAACTCCACCTCTGAATTATACGAAAAATAAAAATAGCTGCTGCACCTTTTATCAAATCTCATCTTCTGACATTGATATCAGTACATACAGTGACAGCTGGGAGCAGAAAAATAGGATTGTACTCACTCTTATTGGATCTTAACATTTTTAATTATAAAGAGTACAAGCTCTGTCTTTCAGTGTAATAGAAAGTGTTTTTATGTATATTAGAATAAATAAACCCTCTCAGTTTCACTGTGTACAGCTGGTGACCTAAAAAAAAGTCCCAAATTGTCAACAGGAAAGCACTCTATTTAAATGATTTATTAAGGACTGTCACAGAGATGGGCAGATCTTCATCAGTCTGATTTTTAACTTGATTTTATTTAAAATATATATATATTTGTTCTCTATAAGCATCACCAAGATAACACTGCAAACATAAATTCCCATATGTACCTTGAAAGCATCTCCTCTGTGACCCTCTTCTGACAGCAGGTCCTTAACATAGTCCCATTCAACCGCCCTTTGAAACGTAATATGCGGTCGTGACTCTTGATGCATCATTTACCTTTCTGTCTTATTGTGTTAAGACTGCAGTGAATGCAACCACGGCGGAGCTCCTGAGGAAGCAGGAGGAGCTGGAGAAGAAGGCCCGGGAGCTGGAGAGAAGAGAGAGGGAGCTGGAGTCACACAGCCTGGGGCCCGGAGCCTGTAAGAAAAGGAGGAGTCAAATAAATGATTATAGGTCATTAAAGAGATTACTGCTTGTGACATTTTCTTTGTTCTTCTCTTCATCAGCCCGTCAGAATAACTGGCCCCCGCTGCCAGCGTTCTGCCCTGTGGGCCCATGTTTCTACCAGGACATCAATGTAGAGATCACGCAGCGCTTCCAGCGCATCGTCAGCCTCATGTACTACTTCTGGATGTGTGAGTTCCTGTTACTCTTACTAACTGCTGTGGCATGAATTCCCAGAATTATTGTGGCAAAACCACTGTCATGTAACGCAATTAAAAGATGTAAAAGCTCTCTCAGGGCTTCAGTAATGATACTTTGTTCTGCATATACTGACTCTAAAATCTACACCTGTTAACATTTAAGTTTTATTAGTGGAAGGCAGGGGTCTTGTAACTGAGAACAAGTGAGAATGTTTGCACAAAGACTCTGACACTTCACTGCGAGGTGGATGACTTCACCAAGAGCAAACTGGAATCAGTTGATTCAGCTGTCGTCCACCGGGGTTCTACTCCAGAGCCAGCTCAAATTGTTCACACTAAGTTCTCCACACTCTGTCAGTTACGTGCTGGATAAAAGTTAGGGGGGGGTTAAGATAAATCTTGTTTGAGTTTACATTCATGTTTACAAGCTTAAGTCCAGGCTCTAATATGATTGGAAGTGGTAGTAAGCAACATGAGCATTCCAGTTGTAAAAAAAAACCTTACGCCTCTCTCTGCTACCTCATATCACTACGCTAAGCCCCGCCCACCAAATGATGCACAAAGCATGCCAGCGAATTGCTGTCAATGTAACTTATCTGCTCTATGTAGTATGTGGGACTTGCTGATCAATATGTATCACTTAAAATTACCAAAGTAGCGACAGGTGGTGCCGCTGTAGTTTCAGCAGCAGAGTGGTTGTTTGATTCAGACAGGATGATTTAAAAAAAAAAAAAAAAACTAATTACAAAGCGGTTGGTGCTCACAGACAGATCAGACACACATTTATTTAAAGGAACATTTCAGTATAATATTGCAGATTTTGATCATGCAATGAAACAAAACAAAATAATAGCCCTATTCAGACTTCTGTTTCTAGCCATGATATTTAGGTCCCTGTGACGCTTCACCTTTAATCTAAAAGTTGGGGACTTAAAATGTGGGGACAAAGTGATCCTCCCTTTTTACTGTCTTTAGAGGTAGTAACAGGCGTTACAGAGGCAAGACGGTATCAGCTGAGTCAGCAGAGGAGCGCAGCGCTGTGCAGTGGTACCATAACGGCACAACGCAGTGTGAATTCATAGACTGAGACACCAACATTACGCCGTCAGGGAATCAATATGCTTGAACTAAGACGTGATGACGGACGGCTGAGCTTAGTTATGACACTATTGTGAAAAAAAGCAGTCTGAAAAGGGCTAATGTTGCCTACTTTAGCTTTAAATAAACCATACTTATTTTGAAAGTGTTGGTGAAAGAGAGAGAATAAGGAAGAGAAAGAAAACCTGCAAGTTAGCAGAAAATGAGCACAGTGAGAAAGAGAAAATAGAACAAATGCACTTTTGCCCCTCTCAGTATTCTACTTAACATTATTATTTAAAATGTCTGTATCTTAAAAGTTGCTGATGCTGCTGGTTACACATTTATGAGCTACTTAGATAATTGTCCATCTGCAAAATCATCCTTTAAAGTTCAAGTAAATAAAGCTCAATGGTTATTATACTCCTTCTTTGTCAAATTAGAGCAGAACACTCTGCTCTAGTCCTAGACCCAGTCCTAGACCCCTGGTCTGGGGCCGTCATATTTCAGTCCTTTTATAACTGTTATGAATGAAAGTTTATACATTTATTATAACATTTATCAGAAAAAAATGAATTGAGCATACTAGTTTTTAAAAACGTATTTTGACTGGAACAAGGGAAAACCAAAAGAGCGAACTCTGACTGCAGCAGCAGGAAGTAATAATTAGCGTAATATTGCATCAGCAAAAGGTCTGACAAGTTGGCTTTTTTTTTGAGGAGGAAAACATTGGTTTGATTTGTGTTCAAATCCCTGCAGTGCTCTTCAGTAGAATGATCCCTTAACAGCGTTTTTCACTCTGTTTATTCCTTTGATCCTTTATTTGACATCCAGTCTGCACCTGCACACTGCTCCTCAACCTGATCTCCTCCCTGGCCAGGTTCTGCGTGGACCCCTCAGGCGGTGTCGGCCTGGGCCTCGCCATCCTCTGGGCCCTCCTCTTCACCCCCTGCTCCTTTGTCTGTTGGTACAGACCTGTGTACAAAGCCTTCAGGTGTGTGTACCACTTTGTTTTAACCACGTTGAATGTGAAGATGCAAAGGGAATCAATTTATGTGTGTGTTTCACCTGATAAATAGACGATTGGAGCCAGAAACTCTGTTCCTGATTAAAAAGGAATTAAAGCTGATAAGAGAGGAGAGGAAGTGGAATTAAGAAACAAGGGATGTGGATCAAAGAGAAAAGTAGGCTGTTGCCTCGTGCAAATAATCGGTTGTAAAATCATGGATTTGCCACAATTTTCATTATGTTTATACGAGGATATGTGTATTTGGATATTTTCATTATATGTTTATAAATTTGTGTGGGGTTAGTATCTGTTTATGTGCATGCTGGTAAGTCTTTAAACTTATTATAACTGTCAACCAAATGTAACACAGATTAGCTCTCTCTATATTTTATTTATATTTTATATTGAAGGCCTTTCAGGGACAGGCCTTGGAAATGAGCATTAGCTATAAATGCTGTGGGGCAGTGCATAGGAGACTTGTTGTTCAATTCTCCATGTACACTGCATCTTTCCCTGTAAAATTAACCAACATATATATATATATAGATATATATATATCTATATATATATACATAAATTTGAAGTTATTGTGAAATTACAGCTTCAGTCTAGTCATGTGTTAAGTGGATATATTTAAATTACTTAAAGTTAGCAAAAGCCCTTTTCAGATTGCATTTCAGAGACAGCTCCATAGCTAAACTCAGCCTTCATTACGTCTTTTTACTTTCATATTGTTTCCGGGATATTGTAATATGTGTCCCAGTCGGTGAGTTCATACCGCGTTTCGGCACAGCGGGAGCTCCACATACACACACAGTCAGACATGCACACACACAGCACTGCGCTCCCCTGCTGACTCAGCTGATCCTGTCTCGCCCCTGTAACGCCTCTGTGACGATACAGAGGGGGGATCACTACAGCCCCTCATTACACCTCTGTGACATTCATATTGAAGACGATACATCACAGGGATGTAAATATGGCTCCTTGAAACAGCAGTCTGAAGTTTGTAATATAATAAAGAGTGAGGTCTAGACCTGCTCTTTTTTCTTCCTTGAGATGTTGAATGAATTAGTTCTATATGAATAAAGAGTGATTGATTGATGGTCACACTGCTGAATTTTAAGTTTGTAAATATATCTATATATATGTCTGGAGAAAAAAGAGTTGATGATAAACTTAAAAGTAAACGTAACAGAGAAGAGTGATATTAACAAACATATATTAATTCATAGCATCAAGTTGTTGCTTTGTTTTGCTTATGAATATTGTGAGAAAGCCTGACTAGAGTTAACGAGCCTGCTCAGACACGTAATGAGCTCGGACCGTATAAAGCATGTGGCTTACATGCTGCAGAGCAGAGTATAGGAGGAGCAGAGCAGCTGCAGGAGCAGCCTGGACATTTAAGTTATATGTTTGTGCGTTAATGCAGGAAAGAGTAAGTTTGTTCATATTTACTTGATCTAGTTTCATATATGTACTTACTAAAGTTATTATCTTCATTCTATTCCAGTTAAATTGCATCAAGTTTTTCTTTGACACATTTTTAAGATTGGTTGTTATTGCAAAAGGGACATCATATATTGTATATGTTATGATGCACATTTGTGTTACCTACATATATATTTTTTCCTTCTTTCCTTTAGAACCACACACACATACATACACACACGAAGATACGTAGATTGATCCTCATAACTACACAGAACCACAAATGAGACACGAGACACAAGATATGCCAATCTCCTTTGTTCGAAGTGGCCTATGTAAATCTACGTGTCTGTCACGGAATAAAACCCTTGAGCTGTGAATCCTCTCTCCTGTCCTGATTCTCTGACCGGAATCATTTTCCATATCTGCCGACCCAAACTAAAGAACTTTCCAAAGGTTCAACCTTTATTTCAAATATTATTTTCTCTCTTCCCTTCTAGGAGTGACAGCTCCTTCAATTTCTTTGTCTTCTTCTTCGTTTTCTTTGCCCAAGTGGTGACCTACGTCATCATGACCATCGGGATCCCTGGATGGGGTTTCAGGTAGGACCAATACTCAAACTGTCCCTGTGCAGCATTACTCAACCCAGTTCAGAGTATTTATGTTCAAAACCTTCATTAGCATATCTGTATGAGGTTATCTTACTTGCAGAGAAAAGATAAACACACAGCAGCCAGCGTTCACACAGTGTTTTTAAACCTCTGTTTCTGTCTCCCTCATTAGTGGATGGATTGTGAGTCTGGCTGCTCTGAAGACCAGCGTTCCCGTCGGTGCCATCATGATGATGAACGCTGTCCTGTTTACAGCCCAAGCCGCCATCGGTGTTTTCATGCTAAAGAAGGTAAAAAAATGATTAAATGATTTACAATATTTCTAATAAAAAACAAATGAATGTAGTATTTTTAACAAGCTGTCAGATGTATGATACCTGTATTAACTGATACACAGGAGAGTGGTACTATAAAGACAGAATATAAATAAGAAATGGGACATGGTTTGAGATTAGTTTGGTGAAATTGAATGCTCACAAGCTTCCTGACTTTAGTCTTACTTTGGTTATATTTATATCCCCATAAACACAATGACTGCAGTGTGCAGGTTTGTGAAAATCTGCAGCAGGTTTGTCTTTAAGGGGACATATTATAAAAAAATCTTCTTTTACAGTGTTTCTGAACATACATTTGGGTAACCTGAGTGTCTACTGACCCACAAAATGTGAAATAAACCCATCCAGCCCTTTGTTTGTGGTCTGCATAAGTCTTACAACACAGAGAAAAATGCTCAGTTTCAAAGGTGCTCTCCTTGTGATGTCAGAGTGGGATTCTGGTAAAAGAAAATCCCCTCCCCTGGTATCTCCACCCATGGACTCCACCCCCAGACTATAACAAAACTTTTGCTCAGGTCCGCCATTTTTATTCTCTCTACAGAGGAGTGATGTCTACTGGGAAAACTCAGGGGGGGGAGGGGGTCATTACATTTAAAGAGACACACACACCAAAACGGAGCGTTCTGAGAGAGCTGGTTTATACAGGATCACAAACCTCCTCTGGTGCTTGATTCATGTCATATTTTGACCAAAGCACAGCACAGATGTTTCATTTAGACCACAGGGGACTGTTTGAAAAGGTGGAGAAGAGGGATAATATGTCCTCTTTAAATCCTGAACACATCAGCCCTTTAGCTTTCTGGCTGTTTGATCTAAAATGCTGAAGTTTAGCTTGTTTGAAAACAAACAAATGAAAGCCATACTTCTCTTTAATTAAAGCCTGTTGGTCTACATGAGTTTTTCATCATATTTTATACTTTGGTGACTAATTACTACAAAGCTTGAGCTGATTATGAAACTTCTCACAGGCACATGAACCACAGTAAGGTGTTTCCTTGCCAAAGTGATCTGCTAGCATACTTAGGAATCTTACAACCAGTTTGAATATGAAATTAAAAACATCACCATGTAAATATGTAGTGTTAATTATACTTCTGCTTCCGTGATGTTCTGACAGGGAGGACACTTTTAAGGGTCACTGAGGTCAAACCTTCGTGCTCTATAAAGGGATGGTGCATGACCACAAAAAGATTTACAAGAAAGTAGAAAAGGCAGCACATTCAATTAGGGCCTGACCGATATGAGATTTTTTTTTAGGGCCGTTACTGATTTAGGGAGAGAAAAAAATCAAAGTCAGTCTTCTTCCTTATGGTACTTTTGTTGTTGTAGTGCATTAAGATGCAGCAATATTCACTTCAGTCTGTTTTACAACCGATGGAAAACTCCTCACAGGAGCTTTAACATGTCTGATCAAAGGTATGCTCCTTTGGAGATTAGTTGTTTACCTTGGCATAGTTCTCAAAAGTATGAGAAAAATTTATTTGTTGTTGTTGTTAGTCCAGCTAAAGTAATGATTTGTTTTGAAGAATCAGTCAGGGACATGTACAGAAGGTCTAAGTCAATTTACTGAAATATTTATGAGCACTGTGCTTTAAGATGTTTTCAACACAGCTAATAATGAATGGACGACAATTAAGAGATACAGTGACATGATCCAGGAGTCTTATTTCCTGAAATCAGTCGGAGAAAGTGAGGGGAAGAAGGACTTGTTGAGCTGTATTCCAGCGAGTCCCAGGTGCCCTGGTGGTCCACCTGCCACAAAGCGTTCTGTAGACAACAAACGCCAAGCTATCGTGTTCTGCGTATCCTTTTCAGCATCTCAGTGTGATTGATATGATGAAGAACGTCTGCGTGTATCAGGTGTCAGCTCCCTCTGCTCTTCCTCTCTTCAGGTCCACAGTCTGTATAGGCAGACCGACGCCAGTTTCCAGAAGGCCCAGGCTGAGTTTGCCACCGGAGTCATGTCCAATCAGGCTGTGCGCCAGGCCGCCACCACCGCCGCCACCAGCGCCGCCACCAGTGCTGCACAGGGGGCCTTCACCGCACCTCGATAGAAAAGACGGAGAGGGGTTGGTAGGGTATGAAGAAGAGGAGGAGGAGGAAGAGGAAGAGGAGGGCCCTCTCAGCTTGATAGAGGATGACCTTGGTATCCATTTACCCAACAGCTGATTAGAGTTTGATGGTGGGGGAACCTTAATTACCCCTGGAGCAGAAAAACTTCAGGGCACGTGCATGAGACAGAGGTGGGGTTGTCTAATTTCTAAAAGTGTACAGGACAAGTATTGCCAGACCATGAGGTAACTAAAATCAGGAGTTAAAACAAGTTAGATTAAAGAAAAAAAAAACATCAACAGAAAACTGGAAGGTGAAAACAAAAGGATGCTGAAGCGGTGTTAAGTGTTGCGCAGTTTGTGTCAGTGAATGCAGGGAAAATGCTTCTTTTTTTGTATGAAAAACAGCTGTGTGCCAAGTGGGGGGGGGGGGAGCCTGGTTAGATGTTCCTCGTAAAAAAAAACTAAAAAAAAAACTCCACTGTACATTTGTTTTTGTTTTTGAGGATTCTTGTTTGAGACAAAGTATAAAGCTGAGCACTGAAATGTTGCCATTCTAATATTTGATCCGTAGCTGAGCAGCTTCACTTGTTTTCATTGTTGCTTTAATGTAAAAACTAACAAGTTGTTCTGTTATTATTATTATTATTTGCAATGAGAATGCCAATTTACATTGTTGCCAAAACCGCTCATACTGTAAAGATTCTGAACATTTGTTGTTTGGTTTACAATCTCTCACTGTTCTATTGGTGTTTGTTGTGGTTCTTATGATTATTACATGTCACTGTCTTGGTTTTAATAAAATATATTGTCATGCGTACACAGTCTGCTACAGTTTATTTAATTAACAAGGTGATTTATTGATTACCTTGTTAATTAAATTTGGAAACACTGACATGAAATGGTTCAGCTGGATTACTTTATTTCTGTGTATCCTGTTAAAAAAAGAGTCAAACTTTTAGAAGTCCAGACATATTTTCTGATTCTGGTATGATTTGATATATAGCCTAAATTACGTTATAAATTCTCTTGTACATTTCATTCTTCTATCTGTAGATTTTTGGTAAAGCTGAACAACTTTGTAGTAAAATTCTGCCCCCCCGTGGTTTGGAGGTAAATGGCAGTCTTTTTTTTAATTTTTTTTTTTTGTTGCCATTTTAATTTTTTTGTAGGTAGGCCTATTTAAAGCTTTAACATGGGTCTTTTCATTTGTAAATGTATTGCAAAATATTAAATATTACACCAAAAACCGGATATTTCTAAGTCTAGATTACATGTGAGTCATATTTGTCAAAGTCAATCAAGAAATGTTAACATAAAAGTAAAACCCTGTCTTAAACTAGTAGACAGACAAATGTAGCGTTGCTAGGAAACCGTTGGGTTGTTTTCTGCTCTAAGGTAGACGAGGTTCCCGTGTAATCAATACATTTGTACTTAGTTTGTTTTTAAAATGGAAAAAGCCTCTTCGATATTTTCATTCTCTGGTGACATCGTACAAACTTGAAGTGAACTACATCTTCGATTTCATCATTTCACAACTTGTTCCTTCATTGAGTTGTGGGTTGGGTTCTTTTTTACAGCATTATATTTTCAGCAGTGACCAAAGCAAGTCTGCTCCTGAATCAACAGGTAAAGCATCAGTCTGAAAATATACAATCTTTTATCTAATGAGATGATAATGTACAGAGTGTGTTGCCTGCACATCGATGATGTGTATTTCCATTTGCAATTAGGCTTGTTTTGTGCAGGGCACCTAACCCTGCGGGACTCCTCTGACCCGCACAAAGACCGCGTGAGACTTTTATGGGCTGCTGTAGATACGTCAGGCACTGCGCTGCACCGTGAAGATGGCGGAGGCTGCGGACACACCACAACACCGGTTTTTCTGTCACTGCTGTAAATGTGAAACTAACCCCAAACTCCCGGTGAGTCATTTTAAGAGTGTGTTTTTATTCCACACATGCTGCTGTGGGGATCATCCACGCGGCCAGGGGGGTGTGTGATTACATGTTCAGAGCTCCCTTATTTCTTAAAGAAGTTAAACATAGTGATTTTTAACAGTTTGTTCTGAAATCAAACTTACTGGGATCAGTTAAGTATCCAAATGTCCAAATGTTGGTGGTGGTTTTGTGTGTAAAGCACAAGCAAAGATCTTATATCAGAGAGAGAGAGAGAGTCAAATCTGGCGATTCGCGTTGCCATATTTAGAAGCACCACTGCAGGCGACTTAGTGTCCAGTTGTCTACTGTCAACTGCGTGTGAGAGACGTAAAAGGGTCTGCCTGGGCGTCACCACATTCACCAGCAGCCGCACACATAGGGCTCACTAAACTGTTGCATGCCATACAGCCGCAAATAGGTGCTGTGAACAAATGTTTTCTCGTGTGTCTCTTTAGTCTTTCACGTTAACTGATTTTGTTGTTGGTCAATTTGTTGTGATTGCATTAGTTGCGCAGCTGACGCTTTTCTTGGCACGATTACGCACCGACGTTGTTATGATGGGGCAAAGCGCACGTGTGTTTGCATGTGCGTGATAGTGACACTGAGTGAGTTTACATGAGGGAAAGAGAAAGACTGGATGAAGCTGTGCTGTAATGACTTAACATAAAATACTTTAATGTGCAAATACCTTTGGTTGCTACCCTTTTTGTGTGTGTTTAATTTCACAATACATGATGTGGAGGAACAGGATGAAAAGACAGAGGTCCCTTGATGGAATCAAACCTGTCCTTGGACATTGTAATAACAATTAGCTTTACCATTTTGACACTATGATGCATCTCTTATTTCTGTTAGCATTTGACTGTTCTTGTGTGATTGATCTAGGCTATCTCTTTTTGGTTGGAAAATGGTTTTGTGGAGACGGTTAAAGAAAACCTTTCTCCCTTTTAAAGTGACAGCATGTGCATCCTGTTGACCTCGGTGTTAAGATGCAGTTCCATAAAACAGAAAGTTTGCATATTTTGTCGCTTATTATAGCCTACATTTCTCCTACAGTACACATCATTACTGTTAATGAAAACTGCAAAAATAAATAAGTCATGTGCCAGGTATAACATGTAATACAAATATTTCTAGAATAATAGAGGCAGCAGCAGTGGTGGTATAACACTTTAGCATTCAAGTCTCCACATTCTTTTGGAAAGGCATTTGTTTTTTTCTCTTAAAGGATTTAGTGTGCTCCACATGTGACTCGGGCTTCATCGAGGAGGTGGCAGAAGACTCCAGGTAGGACTCAGCTTTCGTGTTTATATGAATGTTTTTTTACTCAAAGGCATTTAAATGTATGATTACACTGTAAGCAAGTCTGAAAACTTTCAGTCTTTAATGATATTTTCTTATTTTTCTCCTTTGACATTAACACAGATTTGTTTAATTTGCTGTCTAGTCTCCTGCAGGACAGTGCGTCATCCTCAAGCGAAGTTTCAAACTCCTCGTTGTTCTCAGAGGTATGTCCTTCAACATGGTGTTTTAATAGACACACTCCTCTTTGACAGGCGTTTTGTTTGACATATTTTTCTGTGCTCGCTCTCCAAAGTTATGGCAGCTGCTGTTTATGGAGCGCTCGGCTCTGCTGTCAAATCCGCCCTCTTCAGAGTCAGACCCAGTGGACGGCGACCATATATCTGCAGGTCAGAGCTGTCCGTCTCAAGCTATGCCCGGTGCTGTTGAGGCCACAGAACAAGAGTTTTCCTCCCCGCCTGAGCAGGAGAGGCCGTCCAGGCCTGAACAGAGGCCTGCAGTGGAAGGGTGTGTGGACATGGTACACAGAAACATCACCAGTGTGTGCTGAACTCTCACAGTATAAAGTGTTATACATTTCTAATGTTCATGTCTTGTGAGAAAGTGCATGGAGATAAAAGGTGGACTGAGAAACTAACACTAACAAACATACCATTAGATACACATCAGCTTCATGATTTCACTGCAAACAGAAACATCGGACTGATTATTTTTAACACATTTATCACAGTCTATAAAAGTTCATTCAACGTGGTTAGATTACACCTTAAAAAACGTTTTTCTACATTCAGTTCAAAACCTTTATGTATCTATATAGTATATTTATAGCCTACAAGTGCCAGGGCATTTATAAAGGTGCATGAAAAGAGGACAAGAGGTTAGGTTAGGTATTTTCTCATTTATTAGTACCTATTTAATATAAACCGTTCACAAAAATGCCACAGACATTTTCAAAATTCTTTGTGATGTATTTTAAACTTAGAGTATGTTTGCTAAGCAGAAGTTTGTATCTTGACTGCTAAAGGTTAGTGTTTTTGGATGACAATGTCAGCTCCATCAGAACTGATGTTGAAGAAGAATGTAACATAATTTAATAAACTTATTGTTGATTTAACAACATGCAGTTAAAGAAAACTATTATGCGTATCCTTTAAACATATTTCTTGACAAATTGGTCTTTAATGGAAAAATGTGATTCCAGCTGAGGTCGTGACTCTAACTTTTCCAGTAGTAGTAGTCAGGACAAAGCAGCTGCCAAGTCTGAGGTTTATGGGTTGTAATCTTAACTGAAAGTAAAATCAATTGGTGTTGAGTGGTTGTTATCATCAATGTGTGTAAAAAATATATATGCATATTTTTAGAACTTGTTTTTTCACCTGAATGACTTTTCCCACGCTCAAATTGAGTTACTTTGTGACATGGCAACATGGTTATACAGTTATTGTATAATATAAGTCCATCAAGTTTCCAAATTGAAGTTTCCCTAGTGTAGTAATTTAATAAGAAAAACTTAAATTATGAAAGTGATCATGGGACTCTTCCTCTTCAGATTCCCTTTAAGCTGTTTGACACTTGTGATCAGTTGTGTGCTTTTGTTATTTTGAGTAGAACAGCTGCATGTATCATTTGATTCACTAACTCCATAATAATCAAAAAGGCATGGCATGAATTTAAACAACTCAATTTACTGCTGTGAAAGCTCACTAAAGTGGAGAATCTCTGCTCTCTTTCACAATGTCCTTTCACAGGATCGTGCAGCAGTTCTTGTCTGGCCTGTTTGCCAACAACGGAAACCCGGGTGCTGCACCAGCTGCCCTGTAAATGACTTTTTATTTTTTTTGATTTGCATCATTGACTTTTGATTTCTTTTATAGGTCTGTGCCAACCTCTCTCTCTCTTTCTGTTCTTCTCTCAGATCCAGTATGCTGCAGTTGTATGGAAACCCTGGAGATTATGCATGGGGTCAGGGAGGTCTGGATGCTGTCATCACAGAGGTCAGTGACATCAAAGGTGCTGGTTTGTTTGCATATGGCCTCATGATAAGTTGGAGCATGGTGTCTTCTTCTTCTTCTTCTTCTTCTTCTTCTTCTTCTTCTTCTTCTTAGGATAGGATAGGATAGTACTTTATTGATCCCCAGAGGGAAATTTGGGCGTTACAGCAGCACAGACAAGAAAGCTCAAATACACATTAAACAGAAGAAGATAAATAAATAAAAATAAAAATAAAAACAAAAACGGGGTATATACAGTACAAAATGAATGATGAAGTTAACTGGGGGGAATTGAGAATTGAAATTGGTAGTTGGGTAGTGTTTTATGGGGGTGAAGTTTAGTGTCGAGGATGGACTGTTATTGTTGTCATAGGCTGCTGTTGTACAGTCTTATGGCAGTGGGCAAAAAGGAGCGCCTGAAGCGCTCTGTTTTGCACCTTCCTCACCAGCTTGTTCAGCCTGTTTGCCTCACCAGTCTTGATGCCACCCCACCAGCACGCCACAGCAAAGAAGAGGGCCCTGGCCACCACAGACTGGTAGAAGGTCTTCAGGAGTCTGTTGCAGACACTGAATGATCTGAGTCTCCTCAGGAAGAACATCCTGCTCTGTCCCTTCCTGAAGAGGGCGTCAGAGTTGTGAGACCAGTCCAGTTTATTGTTGATGTGGACCCCAAGGTACTTGTATGAGTCCACCCTCTCCACTTCATCCCCCTGGATGATGACTGGGGCAGGGGGCCTCTTCTTCTTCCGGTAGTCCACTACCACCTCCTTTGTTTTGCTGATGTTGAGCTTGAGGTGGTTGCTTTCACACCATGTGACGAAGCTCTCTAACAGTCCTCTGTACTCCTTCTCATTGTCATCAGTGATGCATCCAACAATGGAGGAGTCGTCGGAAAACTTTTGGAGGTGGCAGGAACCAGAGTTAAACCTGAAGTCTGATGTGAAGAGAGTGAAGAGAAAAGGCGCCAGAACAGTTCCTTGAGGTACTCCTGTGTTGCCCGTCACTACATCAGAGACACAGCCGTCGACTCTGACATACTGTGGCCGGCCTGTGAGGTAGTTGAAGATCCAGGCTGAGATGTCAGGGTGCAGCTGCATATCGAGCAGTTTGTCCCTCAGGAGGCAGGGCTGGATGGTATTGAAAGCACTGGAGAAGTCAAAGAACATGACTCTCACAGTGCTTCCCTTCGTCTCCAGGTGTGACAGGGCTTTGTGGGTCAGGAAGATGATAGCATCCTCCACACCAATGTGCCTCTGATATGCAAACTGCAACGGATCCTGGAAAGCAGTGAGCAGGGTCCTCAGGTGCTGGAGACCTTGATGCTAGGAAGAGCAGAGTCTCCAGCAGAGGTGTGAATGGGGGCTGAGGTGGTGGGGGGAGACCTAGACCCACTATTTGAGCTCACTGGGTCGGGGGATGTGTCAAACCTATTGAAAAATAGGTTCAACTCAGCAGCAAATACTGGGTCTCCTTTAATTCTGGGTTCCGGCCTGCTGCAGCCCGTCATCTGCTTCATGCCATTCCACACCTCCTTTGAGTTGTTCTGTCCCATCTTGGCCTCCTTTTTCAGTCTGTTTTCACATCCACATCTCTCTATGTCAACATGAAACTCTCTTGTTTCACTGCCCATGTGTTCCCTCATTTCTTTACATATTTATCACACTGTTTTGTTCTTCACTCAGTTATTAGGACAGTTGGAGAACTCTGGCCCCCCTCCTGCAGAGAAGAACATGATCTCATCCCTGCCAACAGTTTGCATCTCTCAGGAACAGACAGGTAGTGTTCACAGCATTGCAAACACCACGTCACGTGATCATTTTTTTGCTTTGATTTTGTGTTGCTCAACCTTTTCATTCCTCCTTATATCCTCCTCTCTTATTGGTCGGGGAGATGTGCCGGCTCCTCCTCTGTTGTTCTTACCTTTACTCGTCTTCCTTCCTCACATATTTCCTCGTCTTCCTCCTCATATTTTTCCTCCCCTCCTTCAACCTTTCCCTCTCCTCTTTCTTAATTTGATATACTGGCTTTATTGGCAGGGATGTTTCATAAAGAACAATTAAGACAAGGTTCTAAAACACAATTTAATCAAGTAATTGGACAATAAATGGAAAGGACAACAGCGACATGTGTATCCATATGTATTCATGTGTGTTCTCTAGTCACCACTAGTCACCACACATTGTGTAGCTAAATATTCTTCATGTTCCTCTATAGTATCTTTTTACTGTCAACTAGTTCCTTGGTATATTTCATCATGTTCATCATATCACGTTGCAGTCTGTACTGTCCCTGTTTGCTGTCTCTGTCACTAGATTGAAATCCTGTCAAACTGAACTCATGATTTAAGGCCAACAGCAGTTAGGTTTGTTTGGGATTTTGGTTTGATTCATCCACTGTTCCAGGGAGGAATCTTTTGTTAATTTCACATCATAACATGGTTTACTTTGATTAGCAGAGCTAAGATTCTTATTATGTCCCACAAGCTGGACTTTTTTGTGGCGTCCAGTTCTTCAACTGTAGCGCCTGAAATCTCATAGTCTTGGGTTGAACCAGGGGCAGAGCCAGGGGTGGCCAGGGCCACGCTGTACATCTGATAAGCCGATACTATGATTGGCTATTTGTCTTGTCAGAGGGGAGACTCAAATTAGAAATAACTATTTAAGTTTTGTTGAAACATTCTGCTTGTAGCTTTAGGACCAACAGCAGTTAAGTTTGCTGAAACATTCCAAATAAATGTATTTTTGTAAGTTAGAGAGTGTGCAGGAGTTCGCTTGTAATCATGAGAGAACCGAGTGCATTAGGTTATTTTTCTTTGGAGTCCAATAACAGAACAAACCCCAAACTTCTCTGGCGAGAGGTTGGATAAAACTGCCTTTAGTTCTCAAAATTCGAATCAATATGTAATTATAAAGTTTTTTCAAGTTACAAACAATTATTTGTATGCTTTCCGTTTCAGTTTCAGTTTTTAAACGGCATACATTTTGTTTTCTTTTATTTTATATTTCATTTTCCCCTTTGCTTATACCCATTATCATGCCTCTCCTGCGCTTAACTCTACTTCCCATCTCCTCTACTTCCCCTTTGTAATCCCTCCTCTTATGTCTTTATTTTCTCCTCCTTGTTGCAAAGAGGAGACCTGCATATTTAGGAGCATGTGTCAGTAAATCATGTTGCTCCTGGTGAGTAAAGACCAACTAAAAAGACAGAAAAGATAGCACAATACATACAGACAGAAAATATGTATTCTCTCCTCAATCTAAGAATTTAATACGTTTTGATATTGAATAAAGAACTGAGTTAAAAACTTCAACATGCCTTCAGAAATCAGAAGTAATGACTCATTGTTCATTTCATGAATGTGTTTTCTGAATCGTCTTGTTTCACCTGTTTGTGTTTCTTCAGACTGCAGACTGGAGTGTCCGGTGTGTAGGGAGGAGTACTTATTGGGGGAATCTGTCAGGAAGCTTCCCTGCCTCCATATCTTCCACAGTGAATGTATAGTGCCTTGGCTGGAGCAGGTGAGCACAAGGTGTGGATGTGGATAAAGGTTTTGTATGCACATTGGATTTGACATGTCACACTCACAGAGACACAGAAACCTTTTGTTATCTGAGCTTCAACTTTCAATGCCGTTAGCTTTTGACTTTAAATCAATACATTTTCTCTCATTGTCACAGCATGATACCTGCCCAGTGTGCCGTAAAAGCCTCGACGGTGTCGACAACAGCCTCCCGCCCACATCAGAACCCCAAGACGCCCGCTTCATCCGGACAGAGCAACAGGAGAGGCAGGCGAGCTAAGAAAAGGGCCAACACCTCTACCTCCTTCACGCTTTTCAAGAGACACAGAGACTGCTTTTGAATTAAATGCATATCATGCATCAGTTATCATTTGCCGCTCTTACTCCATTCTCTGCTGAGGACCTTTATGTTTACTCATCCTGTATGTTCATTTTCTAACAAACACATACAAGCCCCTCGGCACGATGGAGGTGTAGTGCCCTTCTCGCTACACTGCTTCAAAGGTGGATGTCTGAATGACTGTCTTTGGTGTCACTTACTACTCAGCACTGAGCTGCCAGTGGTTTTCTAAATGATGGAGATACACAGTTATGCATTAAGGTTCTTGGTAAAGAGAAATTCTTAAAGCAATATATTTTGTGGTCTTTTTATTTTCCTCTTTATTGAAAGCTTATAGAAGGCTTACCCTGTGATCCTTGACCTCTACACCTCCTTTATCTCTGAGGCCTATATATTCTTCACAAATATTTTTATTGGTCTACATACCAATAGGTTAATAAGTGGGGTTCACGCTACACTTTTGTTTCAGTGAGTACATATTTGAAGCTTTCCTGTGCACATTTTCACATATTGCAGTCAGCACTGTTGTAACGGTTTGTTAGATTACAGTTCTTCCATTGTAACAGAATAATTGTCAGTATATGCAGAAAATGTACAGTTCAGTAAAATATAGGCTAATTCCTTCAGAATGAAATACACACCAACAGAAAATTGCCTGCTGCTTTTCTATGCTTTATACCATCCCAAAAGGATTTTTTTTGACGGTTTGGGACTTGTGGTCGGACACAAGCAAGCTGGAGAATTTGTTTTCTTCTAATTCTGACATTTTATGAATAGCCTACTATTGGCAATTAATAAATCTGAGCTATATTTAGGCTATGTAAGCTGTTGTAGCCCTAATAGAATAGAAAGTGTCAGGCTTTTAAACTTTACCAAGAACATATTTTGCCTCTAAAAAACATCAAATGCATTGAAGATTTCAATAAAGCTATGCAATGACTTTTATCAAATATTTTCCCACCTTCAGATTGCATGTTTTCATTTTCACCAACATCAAGTCCAAAATGCAAATACACTGACAGCCTATATGCAAAAAGGCACTGATTGCTTATTATAGTGTATAAGCTGTCACCTGGAATACCTATAGGCCTTATTTTTTTGCTGAATCACATTTCTACAATTATTTGAGCTGAATTACCTATATCAATCCATGTTTCCTTTAAATGTTAATTACGTGAACGCTTGTCAGCTGATTTATTTAGTCTAATTAAACCAATATGGATTATAGCACATGGTGTGAAAAACATTAGGCTATCCAGTTCTTTAATATAAAACATTCCCAACTAAATAAGAACAAATGAAGAAACACAGCTTTCAAAATAGAATAGAATCACAACATCCAAAAACGCATCACAAAAAGCAGACAGTCCAAATTAATCTGCAAACAAAACAAGGATAGCTACAGAAGCCTAGCTTAACTATTATAATGTAAATTTTATCATTTAAGATAACAGGATTAGGTAACACTTTATAATAACCATCATTTATAAAGGGTAAATGAGGGTAAATAGATAGTTAATTAACCATTAGTTCATAGTTATTTACTGTTAACAAACAATGAAATGATAGTTAATAATGTTAGCTAATGATTTGTAATGCTATAATTTATGTTAAAAGTTTATTGATGCACACATTATAACATTTAATACACTTTATAAAGTGTTTGTTAAAGATGACCAAATGATTTATAAACCTTTAAGAGATGGTTTATAAAACAACTCTATAAACATTACAGAGACACATGGACCAGATATTTGTTCATGGTTTGTAAATATTTTATAAAGCGTCTATTAGCATTAAGATGGTTATTATAAAGTTGGAATTGAAGATTATAATCCCTTATTATACTTTGTAAAGCATCTATAAATATTTTTTAGATAGATAATTAATAGTTTATCAATGATCAATAATTGGTTTATAAAGCAAACACTATTAACTATAATTTCATTGTTTGTTCACAGTAAATAACTATGAACTAATGGTTAATTAACTATGCATTTACCCTTATTTACCCTTTATAGATGATGGTTATTATAAAGTGTTACCCAGGATTATTTATTTATAGGGTTGTGGATGCTTGTCTGTACTGTTTCCTTATCCTAATGTTATGTTGACGCTGTTCTTCGTAGCAGCTGAAGGCAGCATCGCCGTGTTGACAGTTGACAGTGAACACACTCCCTCGACCCGCCTGAAACACGGTTGTCAATGGCAACTGAAAATAGTCATATAAAGAAACACAGACTCTTTTTATTTCAAAGACTAGGGACCGCAACAACCGCGTACAACCGACATTTGCTCTCCTCTCTGCTCTCCTCTCATCCTCTCCCTTCTTCCGCCCTCCTCCTCGGTCCGTCCTCCCCTCCCTCCCCCGCCTCCCCCCCTCCTCTCCCCGTGTTGTACTGACACAGTAGCGATACGGGGCTGAGCAGACATGGAGGCCCGATTAACGAGAGAGGCCCGTGCTGACACATCCAGGCCCAGCTAACGGTGTGTCGGGAAGGATTTCGGAGCATCTCGGGAGATATTACGGATACCACTCGCTGTAAGGAAAAAGGATTTTTACCACCGAAGAAGAAGAAATAGAGGGAGATCCATTTCGGGGTCTCTGTTGATTCAACGCAGCCGCCATTTTGTTGACAGTTAGTGTTTTTTTTAATAACCTACACGGCGCTGCATCTGATATTTTATACCACTGGAATATAACTCGCCATATTTTTATTTTTTTGCGTGTGAATTTAGTTTATATACATTATGCATTTTGCATTTGAACCAACGTTGGATTTTATTTTTCTGATTTAGCTGACTTAGCTTGTACATCGTTAGCCGCTGTAGCTGAGATGTAGTAACACGAGTGTCTACGGAGATGTAAGCTTATGTTCATCACTTTACACAGGGTTGTGTCATATATTCACTTAGTCTACACAAAGTGTTTGAAAGCTGTGCGTATTTACTACTATTTTTCTACCTAAATACAGTATAAGTTAAAGCTTTGCAGGGATAAATAAGGCTTCTGATAGATGGCTAGGTTAGCCGCTGATACAAAATGTAACGTTAGCAGAAGCTGTGTGTTATTGGACGGGTGGTAGCTACTAGCTTCTTACAAAATAAACACAAGCATTTCTCAGTGCATTGGGTTGTATTAAGTGTCATTACTGTACAACCTCACCTTTTACTAGCATGGCATACGTAAAAGAAACGTGTTTTGGTATGCTCAGCATGCTTGCACACAACTTACACTGTCACAAGTTTGTGTATTAAATGTTGCAACAATCACACATAGTTGGCGGTCAATAGCTCCGTGTGCATTGGCACTGATTTGTCTGATTATTACCTTGTTATGAGCGATAATACGTTTGTTGTGCAATCGAATGAAATTGACATATTGCAGATTATCGCGTAATAAAACGGCATACACTTTGAATCTAGGTCCTAATGTAACATAGTCCGAATCTGACACTTTCCCCCATGTTTTGGTTTTCGCAATTCAGTGCTTGGAAGATTAAAAAACAATGTGGCCACCACGTTGATACACACGAAGGGAGGACACGGCGGAATAATGTGATCACCGTTTCTGGACAATCACAGAGGTGAGTGAATATGATTAAAAGTAGATGTATTGTTGCTGTTGACATCAGTGTAGATTCACCACAGTCTGCTCCCTGTTGCTGTTTGGTCGATCCTGCAGATGTTTACACATGAGTATATGTTTGCAAATCATTACTCGGTTGCGTGCATTGTATCCCCCCTTTAGAAACTACAAAAAGCACGTCTCTGAAGGCCGGGGCTTCTTTCGTTTCAGACCGTAAACATGACTAATCAGGGGTGAATTTAAAAGTGAAAATGAAGGTGATGCGTTCACAGACTCGCGTGTTATTCCCCTTGAGAGGCAGTGTTGACTGAACGGGAAGCAGACAGCGTTATTCTGTCTGTTCCGCTGGTCAACCACTGTTTTTGCTTAACACAAGGGCATGTGTACTTAATTGAGATTGTCTATGCAAATTGTACATTGGATTACGGCTAAGTTTCCTGGACTCCTAAAGAATGCACACAGTGCTGCTGGTCTGACACCTGTCATTCTGCTCCTATGTATTGAAGCCTTCTGCTGCAATTCGTTGACCTACGAGGTTCACACATTAATACTGTCCCCTTCGTTAAAGTCTGTCGTGAGGTTTGTGCACTTTCTCTGTTAGACCACACAAACTAATGGTAGTAGTAATGGAATTTGGCACCCCCCCACCCCTTCTAAACTAATGCCGATGGAGTAAAAGCCCTGGAAATGACACGGCGCTCTGAGGGCAGACGCCAGCCCTCATGTGAATAAGTGGGGGGTGGGCGGGTTGGATACTATTGCTATGGCCAAGGGGAAATCAGCAGTTATGAACAACGTGTGCAAAAGTGAGGAGGGAGTGAAAGGAGGGAGGGAGTAAGGGATAAGAAATGGGAGGGGGCGCGGGAAGTTGTTTACTACGTTCCTGCCTGCTCTGCCATTTCTTAGCTCGTTGGCCTGATATTGATTATTGATTCTCTGTTTTACATTCGACATTTGTTATTCCTGTTTATAACCATCTAAACTCCTCGTGTTCAGAATTTTCAAATCAGGGGTTATTTACCAGAAGGTTAACACATACAAGGAATCTGTGTATAGTGTGTTTTGTGCATATATGGTAATAATATAAATATACTAAAAAGTAGGAAACAAAGTAAACATTAGAACCCCTACTGTTAAAACACAAAGAATAAAGTGAATAACACAGATTCAAAAGAAAAATATCAGTATGGATACTAGTTCATGAAAAGAGCTGTACAATTTGTGCCGGATCCTGTGAGATGTCGCAAAATGAGTTTGTAAAAGTTTACAGTATGGAACACGTTAAAGAAAAACACAGATGATGTTGCATCACTGTAAAGCAGAGAGTAATCTTTTGAGGCATATTATAATAATCTAACATTTATTTAACATAACCAAAAGCAATGTATGTTAACATAAAGTATTACTCTTAAAGTAAAAGCTACCATCAGACAGGCATGACTGATATGTGTCTTTAACTCTAGTAGCGCTCCTATTAAAGTCTCTCAGTATGACTTTCTTTCTGTTATTCGACAGATTATCAGATCATTTGAAGAAAACATGTGGCAATAAATGTCCTGGGTGAGAGGATTGTTTTGACACGGCAGGAGGTTTTTCTCTAGACTTGTGTCAGCAGCACCCACAGTGTAAGGTACTACAGTTGCTTATTTTTGGCATAGCTGCTGTTAGGCAAGCGGAAGCGGCTGGTATATCTGTGAGTGTT